GCTCCCACGTACGGTGTGTCTAGGATGACCCAGGAGAGATTTAGGCAGGTATTGGCCAGTATCTGCCCTAGTCCTGGCACATCACCGTGAAGGTGCGAAAAAGGGAAGAACATAAGAAAAGGGAGTTTAGGGTATGGTCGACAAAGTGATCACGCCCTTTGCTCCGCTTCCTGAATGCTGCAGGTTGACAGCAGATTTGACGGAGATCCGTTGGGGTTGTCGCTGGGGCTATGAAATGTCTGCAACGCAGGAGAGGTCGCACCAGATGGGGTCAAACCCGTTGCAATGGAGGTTCAAACTTAGCTATGAGGGGTGACTCCAGTAAAATACCTTTGGCCCTTCTAGCCGCTGCACACCCTCCCTTCCCATAAACAGATGACATTACATGACAAAGTTCGATAAATAACATGACATCACATGACAAAGATCTACAAACAGTTGACATTACGTATTTTGTTGTTGTTGATAATACACTTTTTTCTTTTAATCCTGCGCCACCAGTGACATTAGTTGCTTTCTACTTGACCCATCATGATATTATTAGGATCTGCAGCTGACACTACATGATTTAAAACTACAGGTGACAGTTTATGATAAAGTTCTATAAACAAATAACAGTACATGATACAGATATATACAGATCACAACAGATGACAAAGATATATAAACATATAACCAAATGGGATACAGTTCCACGCATAGATATTCTAAAGGACATAAACAAAAACAAAGACAAGTTTCTTGTTGAAACAAATTTAAACAAAAAATGAAAAAAATAATGAAATCTGTAAAACATAAGTGTATACATTTGATTTTAATAATGTTGTAAAAGGTGTTACTTACAAACAGCAAGTGTACCTGAACGAACTGTAACATAAATTAACACCAAAATATAACAAAAAATAACAGGTAAATATTACTTTGATAATGTGAACAGAAAATAAATAGTACAAATCACGTGAGCATTAAACTGTTTTGGTAAGGTGAGAGAAATCACGGAATCATAGTAACAAACTGCTATAGTACCACTCGTTAACTCTTAGTTCTATTCAATTCACTTTGTTTGATGGTGATTTCACAGAAAATCGTGTCCCATGTTTTCATATACAGGAAAACATTTCAATGGCCCTACATGGCTAAAACACACGTATAAGCACAGCTGGAGTTATGCTTGTAATGGCGTTGGTGATGTGTTTAGTTTTTCTATGTATAGAAACTTACGGGACATCCTGATAATGTTCTTACAGCTTTTTTAAAACCAGTTTTTATATTACTTAACCCTTTATATCCAAATTATTAGTTTAACTGCTTGTTGCCCAATGCGTCTCTAATAAAATCCGTTATCTCTTTGGTAGGTTGTGAGACCCCAATGAGTGGGAAGGGGAGCAAAAGGGGGACCAGTGTCCCCAAACAAGCATGTTATAAAAGGCAACTAATTACCAGTTAGCTGAAATTTGATGTGTTGGGCTTAAAGGCACAGATATCATAGCCTAGCTATAAACCACAATACATCAAGCCAACTGATCCATAACGGGTGAACACAAAGAGGAAGAAGAACTGCTTTAGATCAAAGTATGTATTGCTTTTGAGCTAAGCTCATCGGTGAAGAAATGGTTGGTTAAAAAATCTTTATCTTTGAAATAAAAGAGTTCATGTTGGTGCATCGGAAGTGCTGTAAAGCTGAACCTCCTTCAAGATCCCGTTTGTAATACAACCCCCATACTGCTTACTATAGTTTAGCATACATTGATTTACGTTTCACAAAATCTTATGTTCAACATATTGCTTTTATAATATCAAATAAAGAGAGGGGAAATTAAACACGGCAGTCTGGCACTACAAAGCTGGTCTAATAAGGGTTTAATTTAAAATCATCATCATGTGCCAAGCCAGTAAGCATAGCTTATCGTATTTTGCAATCTCACACAATCAGCAGAATCATGGATACTTTATATACTGAACTTTTTTTTAAAATGAAATTTGTTGTACTTGGAAATTACTTTTTTTTTGGGACAGCCATGGATACACATATAGTGGGGGTGGGGAAAAGGGGGGGGGGTGGTGTTCTCATTGAGAATATATAATTCATATATGAATATTTCAGTAAGGGAAGAAGATGCTTGCTTTTATCAACACAGAATGGTTGTGATCATTAATTTGTACACTTGTGAAGATATTGAAAAAAGAGATTGCAGCACCAACAGAGTGCTGTCATTATGGTCCTCACAAATCAGTTAAAACTGTGAGGTACAACTGAACATAAAAACAAACAAAAGAAATCACAGACAGGCTCCACTAGGAATAAAGCAGACAACAAAATGTGACCTTAATATGATGCTACTTATATTAGTCTTACGTAGGTGTTCATTTTTAAACACAATCATGCAACTGTTCATGTGTTCACACTATCAAACAAACAGTTCACACACACATTTATGTATGGAAAATTAAAAGACTCCCAAAGTCTATCAATAAGTAGACTAGAAAGACACGGTGATTTTGTAATTCTTCCGTTTAAGTAATGTGGCATTTAAAAAATCATTAAAATATTTGGTAAAAAAGTAACAATATATCTTATCAAAATCAAATCATTTTAAAATACATATGTTAAAAAACAAAACAACTGTGGTATGTGACATTGAAAGCTGGCCCATAATTTTATGGCCGACATACATTTAATAATCAGGCACACATAAATTAGGTGATGATCAAACACCATGCTGGATCTGTGTGGCATATCCAAACATATATACATACAGGCTTTGGGGTTAGGAGTATAATTCAGTGTGAAGTCAAGGAAAATAAAAGTCAAAACTAGAATAGCTTTAATTATATAGTGTAGGGGCAAGGGATTTAGTAATTGAAACTATACTGTTATACAGGCAAGGGATACATAAAGTTGAAACTATATGTCTAGGGAAGAGAGATAGAGAAAATTGAAACTTTACTGTCTATGGGTGGCAGTACGGAGAGGTGAGAATATACTGTCTCTGGTTGAGAGATTTAGAAAACTGAAATAGACTTTCTGGGACAAGGGGTATAGAAAGTGGAAACTATAATGCATGAGAATGAGGTAACAAAAATTATAAACTATTGTCCAGGTATATGGAACGTGGAAACAATACTATCATGGGGCAAGGGATATGGAAAGTGGAAACTTTACTGTCTGGGACAAGGGGTATAGAAAGTAGAAACTATAATGCATGAGAAGGAGGAAACAGAAATTTGAAACTATTGTCTAGGGATATGGAACGTGGAAACAATACTGTCATGGGGCAAGGGATATGGAAAGTGGAAACTTTACTGTCTGGGACAAGAGGTATAGAAAGTGGAAACTATACTGTCTTGGGGGCAAGGGATATGGAACGTGGAAACAATACTGTCATGGGGCAAGGGATATGGAAAGTGGAAACAATACTGTCATGGGGCAAGGGATATGGAAAGTGGAAACTTTACTGTCTGGGACAAGGGGCATAGAAAGTGGAAACTATAATGCATGAGAATGAGGAAACAGAAATTTGAAACTATTGTCTAGGGATATGGAACGTGGAAACAATACTGTCATGGGGCAAGGGATATGGAACGTGGAAACAATACTGTCTTGGGGCAAGGGGTATAACAAGTGGAAACTATTCTGTCTTGGGGGCAACTGATATGGAAAGTGGAAACTTTACTGTCTTGGGGCAAGGGATATGGAAAGTGGAAACTATACTATCTAAGGGAGGAATATAGAAAAAGAAAACTATACTGTAGTGGGGTGAGGGATTTAAAAAGTTGAAACAATGCTGCCTAGATGTATACTGCATAGAGAGGCAAAGGAGAATAGAATGGGATTTGTACAGCCCACAAGCAAGTGGTTAGCGAAAAGGCAAATGCTGATAAGAAAGAGAACAAAATAAAAAATATCTGCAAAATGGCTCTAAAATTCTAGAGCTAAAAATCACGAAATAAAGAAATCTATACACATGCCTTCATAAATTTTGATAAATACTTAGCTTTGTTGTTCCAGCCCTGGCAAAAGTTACACTGTCCTCAAATAGTTTTTAAAAAAATAAAAAATAAAGATAATCTGGAAATTAGGAGATCTTACCCGCTTCAAAATTATAAAAAAAACAACAAAATTATTTAAAAATAAATAAATTAAGTGTATTAAAAAAAATGTAGACAAGATTTCAAGTTGTGAGAAAAAGAATAGTAGAAATTGTAATAGAAACTAGGTTTGCCTAATAAATATTAAGAGAAAAAAATACTAGTTTTTTCTTTCTCTAAAACTCCTCAAGTAGTTTTAATTTTAAAACCACATAGTCTTCGAAGTAAACGTAATTTTAAAAATAAAACAGATCAGAACAAGAGTTTAACAACTAAGTCTGAATAATTCTAATGGCCTGTATGCTGAGTACAAATAAAAAGAACTGCTTTTAAACATAAATTTGTTTGTTATTCTACACTGATTAACTGCAACATTAATTCTGCCATTTGTGATTGCATTTTATTTAGAAGTTGACTAGTTATACGTCATGCCTGGGTGATTTTTTTCCTATATAAATATGTGTACATATTAATAAACTCTAAATTGTACTGATGTTAAAAATTATTATTCAGTGAAGACCTCAATTATTTCCAACATTATTTATCCTAATTATGAAAAAAAAAAAAAATGGACAAGGACATGGAACTTTTGTGTGGTAACTAAATTACATGGAATCCTTTGTGGTTAGTAAATCTAGCTTTAGATAAACAGTCTGGGAGTATTCAATATTAGGGCATCAACACAGCTTCGGGGATTTATCCCAGTTTAACAAGACATGCAATTCTTCTGAGCAATAACAATTCTGGCAGTGGATTTTTAAACATCAGGAAGGATTGGGGAAACAGATTCTCAAAACAAATCAAGGAGATTTGTTCATCTCAGTTTTCTTAACCCCACTTCCTTCACAAGGCTGAGCAGTACAGGCCAAGATATGACCACACAGGATTAGTCTGAAAGTTCAAGATGTCCATCATTTGTTCTTAGGCTCATGGCGTTTCATATGCAGGGCTAGATGGTCAGATCTGGCGAAGCTTCTTTCGCAGACTTTGCATATAAAAGGCTTGGCTCCTGTATGTTTACGTATGTGTCTGGTAAGCTCGTCTGATCGGGCGAACCTCCATCCACAGGTCTGTATGTGACACTTGTATGGTTTTTCGCCTGAAAGAACCAAGTATGATACAATGTTAGACATAAGTAATGGCTAATAGAAACATTAATATATAAAACATCTAGCGAGAGTGTAAAAACATAGTTTCTTATGATGCATTTAAATAAACACAATATAAAAATGGCTACAAGCAAACATCCATAGATGTAAAGATGGCAGGCATAATGTAATAATATAATGTACCTGTGGAAATATGCCCCAGACAGCAGAGCATGTACTCCAGGACTGCACCGAATTTGACACATTAAGGCAAACCTTTTGGCCAGAAAGAACAACAGTGGACCGTAAACTCTATGGACCACTGAATGAACTAACGATGACAGTGAAATTTATACAAGAGACAAAACTGCTGATATAGACATTTTATTTCAGGCGAACGAAAGAAGAAGAAGAATGTGATTTTTTTTCATTAGGATTGCAGTCTGTAAGATTAACAGACAAGAATCAAACACGCATAACCAGTTTAACCGTATAGCCACAGAGCACCACATAATGGTTATGGAGTAAACTGTAGTCTAGTGTGGGAGTTTCTGATGTGTTATGTTGACCATACAGACCCTCAACTCCAAACTGGTTTACAAAAACATGAGTTTAACAGCATATGTCTGATGGAGTTAAATGGGCCCTTTACATTACTTTTTTATAACCTCTCCCTCCTCCCCTTAAAGCTAAAGAAGAGCTGGTTCGTCTCATGTCTACCCAACTTAATTTTGTTGTTAACATGCAGTTTTGCCTGCAGATATGTCTTTTTTTAATGTTCAGAGACAGACTTTGATGTTCATTGTAACCCGTGAAAGACAGTAATAACCCATACATCAAGTTGTATTTATTAGCCTCATTATTTCATGTCCATCAGATTTTGACATCCCAATGACTGATGTCATTTAAACTAGAACAGCAACTCTCTTTACAGGCATCTTTGCATAACCAAGTCAGTTTTACAAAGACCAGTTCTGACTTCATTCTTTTGTTAATGTCTGCTTTGTTCTGCAAGACCTCACAGTTTAATAGATGATAGAAAACTGAGCCAGGGCATGCTTGTCTGCTGTAAAGGTGTGAAGTTTTAAGCTATTAGTGACTACTTCAATCCATTTCTTCTGGGTCCCCCTCTGCCTCTTTGTGTTTCCTATTGTCAAACACACACTCACTGCCTGCATCATTAAATTCATTCTCAACAGATGGCAAAACTGTCAATCTTTGTCTCTCAATGAATTTATGTTTTTTAGGGGTACTGACACCGTTCCCATAGTTTTTCTAATCTTTTTTCTCGCGCAGTTCTAGTTCTGTGCAGAAATAAAATTAATTATTATTAATGAATTAATCAAATTAAGTATCTATACCTGTGTGGATTCTTTGATGTGCCTTGAGGTGGGAGCTCTTTGTGTACGCTTTTCTGCAACCTGGAGAAAAACAAGATGGGTGGTCAGCAACATTGGAAAACATGGTGACTGTATTGAATGCACGGATAAGTCATGGCTATGTGTTGGATAAACCACCATAGGGTGGATGGCTGAATCCTATAAGTTGGATGGATAAGACATAGGTTCACTGGATAAGCCACTATAAGTTGAGACTGAGAAGTCACCATCGATTGGTTGCTAAGTTAATACAGTTCCTCTGGATACGTCACCCTGGTAAGTCCCCGTGGTGCAGGTACCGATGCCTTATTTGAGGGGTGTAGGAGAGTTCCCTAACAATCATGTGGTAAAAGGCGACCAATTAGAAATTAGCTGAAATCAAATGTATTGGGCTGAAAGGCACAGATATCACAGCCTTGCTGTGAAACTGCAATGTAACAAACACTTTTTTCAGTGCTCATACAAACAAGTGTTGGACAAGTCATATCTCCAACCAAGTGTTGGATAAGTCATAGATAAGTCATATCTCCAACCAAGTGTTGGTTAAGTCATATCTCGAAACAAGTGTTTGACAAGTCATATCTCCAACTAGTGTTGGATAAGCCATAGCTATATATAACCCCCAAGTGTTGGATAAGACAGTCCTAACTATAACCAAGTGTTGAATAAGTCATATCTTCAATCAAGTGTTTGATAAGCCTTGCTTTAATCAGTATGGCTGGAAAGGTCACAGCTTTAACCTCTACAACTTTGATGACAAGTCCTAAACACTATGGGGTTGGATGTACAGGTATATGATCAAGACTGGTGACAGATCGTTCACCTGGCAATCCAAAAATAACCTACCAGGTAATGACTCATGTAGGCTGTTAGTTTTACATCACGTTTTGCCCCAAGACAGGTTTTTGGCTGACATTTGAGATTGACTTGTGTCTGCATAAACTTGGTTTAAACTAGGATACGATCACCGCTTAAACTTCATAGAAACTAGGATATGACGTACTTAAACAGTGTAAAAACAGAACATTACACTTACTGTGGCTAATGTATCAATTCATTTGTAAAAGAATTAATTTTTAAAATGTATCCCTGAATGTCATTTTGATGGTGATTATCATATTTCAAAGAATTTTGTTTAAAGTCAATAAACTTACATACCAACCGAGGCAGTTATTATGACAGCATGACCACCAAGAAACAGATAATTAACAACAAATTTATACCAACATTGTGATACCAGTGCCAAACTTGGACAATGTCAAAGGTTAACTTACGTAAACAACACCTGTGAAGTGAGATGCCTGAGGAAAGCTGCCAACTTAAACATCCAAGACAAAGTTAGAAATTACAGTATCTGACAGACTGGGAATAATGCGAAGCAGCCAATTTATTGTGAAACAGAAAATCAATTGGTTTGGTCACCTCCCTAGAATGCAGCCAGAACAATTACCAACACAGGTGCTATAGATGAAAAGATCTGACGTGAAAGTAAGTGGTCGCCACAGAAGTTGGAATTATGACATTAAAGAGCATCTATGTTGCCAGTGAATGACAACAGCCACTGCTACCCATCAAGTGATGGATTGCAAGCTGTTCCTATAACCCATAGTGGCACAAGTGGAAACGGACCAAGACGATGAAGGAAATGAAAACAAAGAAACATAAAAGACCCAGAGAATTGAAATGAAAATGAGAATGACAAAAGAAACCAGAGATATAGTTTGACAGTGTAAACAAGATAAACCTCTGATCTTCTTCTTCTTTCTTCTGTGTTGACACACAGGAGAGTATTGTTTGGTTCACTGGTCATATTGATGGGAGTTGTGGTTAAACTGCACCAAGCCATTTTACTTTCAAGCACAGTGCCTGACAGTCACAATTTCAATTACAACAAAAACTTACCAGGGAAGACGCAGAAGTGAATCCTTCGCTTCTCTAGTTCTGGATTGTTTTTTCTGTTATACTTGATAGTGGAACATCCTGGATGAGTGACCGGTTGCTTCCTGGGTCGCTCAGGTTTGGCCTGGCTGGTCATTGTGACTGTGAGGGGCAGAGACGATGGTGCTGGACTCAGGCCGCAGGTGCGGATTTGAGAACTGTTACCTGGGTATGGAGGTGGTGGGGTTCTACGGACACCCTCATTGTTGGGGCTAGCAGGTTGGGAGGTGGGGGGAGTTGGGGGTAAAAACATACTAGGAACGACATGGGGAGCAGAGGAAGAAGTAAAAATGGTGGAACTGGAATAGGGCTTCGGGGAAATGAACCCTGATGTAGGGGCTTGGCAAACAAGACCTCCGCTGTTAGCTGAGGAATGCTGAATGATGATTTGTTTGCTGGTTGTAATGTCTGTGGTAAGTGGCTGATTAAATGTTGATTTTGATGACAGGATGGGTCGGTTATATGTTGAGATTGCTGTTGTATTGCTAGCACCACTGGGTATTCTATACGAGTCAGTTGAATTCATATCAAAAAGAAAGGAGTCTCTACTGCCAGACTGGCTTGTGGTTGTATTGTGAAATGTGGAAGATTCTGAAAGTCCAAACTGGCAAGAAAGCATGCTTTCATAGTCAACTGGTTCTGATTTGATGGGCAGGTGGTCTTGCCTTCCGCTGCTGCTCTGTATGCTTCTACATGTCGTTGCCCTGCTGGCACTGCATGAGGCAGGGTTTTCTAGCATATTGAGATCTTCCCAGAGAGAATCTGAAACCAACACTGTACTGCTGTTACTAGTGCTCCTTCCATCGTCCATCGGCTCTAAACTGGCACCTCCATTTGTCATAATAATTGAGTCATACATTGTTGAAGCTATATCAAAAACTTCTGCTGGCTCCTGGTCATAAGCCTCCGAGCTTGCAGCAATAAACTCAGGTGGCTCTGATTTGATCCATACCTTTTCACCATGGAGACTGCCATTGGATACTTCTCCCAGGAATTCTTCAACTAAGGAGGAACTAGTTCTTCTGGATGTATCATCTCCGAACAAGCTGTGTTTTTCCATGGGGTTTAGCATTCTGCTGGAGAGCTTGGATGCATTGCTGCATGGAGCACCGCTGAGAAAGAACGATTTGCTGGAGAGAAATGGGGACTTTAAGGCATCCCCAAAGAAGTCATCGATGATTGATGCACTTTCTCTTCTTGTCTTTGTATCTTCTGTGAAGAGTAATTTGTCCATGAGGTCAGATACCTGCAATAATAACAACAATACAGTTATATAAGAATAACAACAATAATAGACAGCAACAGCGGAAACAAACAGTGGCAGTGGTTGGAACAGTGGTAGTGGTAGTAGATGTAGTCATAACAGTAGTGATGGTGTTAGTAGCTGTAATAGTTGTGGCTGTTGTAACAGCAGAGGTGTTGGTGGTACTTCTAAAAGTGGTGTTAGTAGCAGCAATAGTAGCTGTATTATTAGTGGCTGTGGTAGTAGTAGTGGTTGTTGTAACAGTAGAGGTGGTGGTGGTATTTCTAAAACTGGTGGTGGTGGTGGTAGTAGCAGTGATAGTTTTTTTTTACTGGTGATGGTGGTGGTAGTAGCTGTAACAGTAGATGTAATAGTGGTAGTACTAGTAGTGGTGGTGGCTACAGCAGTGATAGTTTTTTTTTTGGGCGGTGGTGGTAGTAGTAGTAACGTAACTGTGGCGGTCTTCGTAACAGTAATAGTGATGTTTAAAGTAGTGGTTGCTGTAGATTGTGTATCTTTTATTAACGCTGCTACAATTTCACAAAACCTGAATTCAAACAGCCGATAATGAAGAACCGGCTGAGATTTTACCGCCATTGTCAGTTTCAGGGATAATTTATAGGCAATGTCTATTTCTGCTGGTGGAACCCATACGTCCTCCGCTCCTTCACACCCAGACTCCCTGCCACTTTCACACGATAACAACAGCTAAAAATATCCACTCAAGACTGCATCGAGAGGGAAGCCCAAAATAGGAAACTCTCAATCGTGTTTGTGCTTTCCCGAATCCCCTGGGTCAAATCAACATGTTTACGTGTTGTGGTACCCGGTCGTTGTCGGTTTTAGGAAGAAGGAAAAATGGACACTGGTATAGAAAGGCGGGTAGAAACAGGATTTCAGTTCAGGAAAAGTCCATAGGGGTGTGAGCTCGGAAAAATAATAAGCAGACTGGTTTATTAACGTGTATTTTCACAGCGAATGAGTAGTACAGGAAGACGTGACAAAATAGCTGAGTGACAACAAATGAGGTTAGGATGTCCGGCTTTCGCATATTTTAGGACGCGTTGTATCTTCTTCGATATGGCAAGGTTTTTCACTTTTAATTTTTGCAGCCTATCTCATGTAAACAAAAATACTAAACAGTATGGCTTAGAAAAGCCATATTCTGTTCGGGAAAAGCATTCACTGAGTTTCCTGGACCTACAAGGGATGCAAAGCGTATAAAACTGTATCCTACCATACATGTCGTAAGCAGCAACTAAGGAGGTCTGGCCTCGTTCCTCATTCGCATTAAAAAAAATACAGTAGAACGGCCTCTTACAGAAACATTTGCGAGAAACACATGAGCAGATACAAGAGGTATCCAGGACACACTGTGGGGATTCGAAGAGAGACTTGAGGCTGACGTGTCGGTTCACGTAGGTAGCACAACTGACAACCTTACTTATGAAACCGATCGCGAAGAAGTAACAATTTGTGAAATATGGAAGATTGTATAAGTCCTAGTGTGGTGAATAGAGGACATCAAGGCGAAACTATAATGGGAACGTGGATGAAAGAAGTCAAAAGTGCTGGACTGGATTCACTCCGTGATATAGAAGAGAATGCAAAGGATAGAACGGAATTGAGGAATCGACTGAGAGCCCTATGTGACGTATAATGGCCCAACACGACAATGATAATGAGTTTTTAGTGCGGACGAAAAGTTTCAAACTGCATGGCAACACACGGCCTCCACAATACTGCCCATTCTTTGTGCTTACGGAGAGAAGGGATTTTATCTATGGGTTTTCTAAACGTGAGCGGGTCTTACTAATCACTGTCATAGGTAGCGATTCCCACACATTCCTATAGCACAGTATAGGACTATCGTCTGGAAAGACGGAAAGGTGCCAACCAATCAACACAATCACTATTAATTACTTGAAACGTATACATGCACGGAGGACAAGATAAAAATACAGACCTGATCGATTTTCTGGAAATCGTGTCAGTCAGCGAACCACGGCCACTTACGCTGGTCGAAATGGTACATACTAGTTTTTAGGCAAACTCTTGGTGCTTCCACTAACTGCCGATTTCTTTAAAATACAGGTCTGGCCCTATATGCCCAATACGCCTAAAGGCGTGGAAAAGCGTCATTTTCTCTGAGTTTCTTTACTTACTTGGGGCTTAGGCTATGGACAAGTTTCGTGTGTGCAGGGCTTCGGTAAACAGTATGCTTGCAGTTATAAGAAAGATTAATGAATGGGCGACACGTCGCGGGAAGACCAACTTACCAAATAAGGATTTAGCACTACCGGTAGAGGTCACAGTCAGCCACGCACTTAAACGTACACATCCTGGAGAACTGAAAGACGCCTGATGAAATAGCAGATAGCCGGATATGCATGATATCATCGTTATCATGCGTTGTGATACTGTTCACCTGGCAGTCCTCATGATGCAGTTAGCAGAATCCTAAACAAAGGAGTGGTTTGGAGGCGGGGAAACGTTGTGGTCTGGTTTCATTATGGTAATATCAATAAGTGCGCTTGCCTTGATTCCGGTGACTCTGGTTCTTCGATGCTTATGTCGGAGGACGCATTAAAAGGCCAGTAGCCTTGGTTAAATCTATCGTGCAGTCCAAATCTCCCCATGTACCATACAGTTTTGACTGCAGTGGGAACATGCCAGATTTCTTCTCTGTTAACAGCACACAGTTGTAAGACGAGGCCGTTGAACGCGTATTTTAGGGCTTATTGGATTTCCCTTGTTTATGATTGTTTTAAATTATTGTACCCCCTTTTTTTAAAACATGCAAACTCCTTGTAACGCTTCTTTCTATCCTCGTGTGGGTCCTGGGATCCCATTGTAGGGAAAGCAGAAACAGAACCACTGCCGCCTCAAGAAGCATGTCGTAAAAGTCCACTATTTGGGCGCTCCCGTCAAAGTCGGAGTGCATCTACCTGATAGGCAAGGAGCTAACAGTCTGCATACAAATACGCAAGATCTGTTAAATGAACAAGGATGCACACACAAAACTCAGGTCCTGAAACCAAGCCAAAGTCCAGAAATGGACGAACAGCCAGGTCTTTCTGCAGAGAGTTTACTGCCGGTGAACGCAAACAGGTGCTCTGCACAAGCAGGTGCTCCGTTCGGCATGCTCGTGAGGGAGGCATTAGCCCCCCCCCCCCCCCCCCACACACAAATGGTCCCCGGAACCCACACGGGAATAGGTAGAAGTAAATTTCTAGAATGTTCAGTCAACTGGCAAGGGAAAGAAATGAGACGGGAAAGGGAACTGGCCACCCACCTCAAACTTTCATGCCCTAGCCAGACTATCTGACGAGCTTTCACTTCACATCCCAGCAACAGTATTTGCTATGGTACTATCTTTAGCTTTAAAAGAGATCCGTCTCCACAATTAAGGTTAGATACCAAGCCTACTACTGTTTTTGGAATACTACGTAATGAAGCCCCAACATCGTCCTCAGTACTTAAGACTTAAGGATCATGAAATGCTTGCATATTTAGACATGATAAAAATTAAAACTGTTTCTGTTAGGGGTAAACAGTGATACAAGTGGGGGGGGGGGCATAAGAGATAAGACGAACAACAGTCAGAGAGAATAAAGCCAGTGCGAGACAAGATGTGTTAGAGATCCAGTGCAACTATCCAACACGGTGAAGACGGCTCCTCATAGAAACTAGACTCACGCTGGATAATAAAATACCAGTCCAGCGCCTTTTATTTCGTATTTGATTTGAAAATCTGGCGGTCAACCATTATACTCATCCCTCCTTCCCACCAACACGGTGTTACTATTTCTTCCACCACCCAGGTAATTTTACAGGCGGGAGATAACAGATCGCAGAATGCTTGGAATGTTCATTGAATGCCACCGGTGCGCGCGCACCACACATAAACACAATGGCTGCGCTTTTCTTTCCTTCAACAGGAACCTCTGCCTTGGTTTTCCACTTTTATTTACGACTCTCTGTGCAGGGAATATTATACTGTTATGGAGATGGCTCTCACAATGGGTGCCATGGAATGTTCGGGAGAATAAAGCGACTACCATGACGCCGGCATCAGCCACCCAGTTCCGGTTGGTCTAAAAATATACTACTGTCGAACATCAAGGCACACCGGGCAAACCTATAGATGCTCCGTCTCCCGCAGGAAATGTCTTAGGGTGTATAGATGCTTTACTGTTCCTGTAGCTATATATATATATATATACACACACATATCGTTCTCTTTTTTTTCAGAACCACTTTTAATGAACAGGGGAGTTGGGGGTGATGATTAACCTTCGTCGGTAAAACGACGAAAACACACACACACACACACTCACACAAATCTACTGAGTGATTCATTTACAGACAAGAACTCATACGATGCATTGCAGTATGAAACAGTTAATAGCATTTAACGAATTGAAATGACAGCAGGAAAGCTATGGAACTGACATGGCAGCCCACTCTTTCTTTGACTGCCAATCCAAGTCCAAGATTCTAAGAAAAAAAAAAAAAAAACGGTTTGGGTACTGGCAGAGGGAAAGACAATCTGTTCGTGTATTGCCAAAACGAAAAAGTGCCATTTTTTCGTGGCGAAGATTTCAAACGTTACGGGTAACCGGGCACACATTACACACATGCTATATTTAGACATCACGTGATCCACATAGATTTAAATTAATAATGGATTCACATTCACGTCATTCACAGAGGGCATTAAGTGACACTGTTTAGGGACCATTTTAAAACCATTAGGTCCTCTATATGTCCCTCGATTTATAGTTCTACACGGTTTTAGACTATCTTCGGCCTTCAAAAAAAAAACAAAAAAAGTCGCTACCGGCAGATGGACAACCGCTGTTTTAGGGAAACCCTGTTCGCGAAAGCAAATCGGTACGGCACATAATGATTAGCCAGTAAATTACCAGCGATTCAGTAATCGTTTTCTTCCCCGATGGTTTCATCAATCAAAGGAAATTCATTACCACATGTACGCCCGCGCACAGGTTCCTCCCACTATTATGACCGAAATAACCTGTCAGCAAACAAAAAAAGAATGGCGCATTCACACAAGTTGTACACACAACTCCCCCACAAATAACCATTCACTATGTGTCTTAAAAAAAAAAGAAACTATTTTAGCTTATGTCAAAAGTTAACAAAACATTGTCAGGAAAATTAAGTTACCCCAATGCAATATCAAAGTTTCCTGCCAAATTTTCGTGTTCTATCTCGGATATCTCCTTTCTTTCTCCAACTCGCGCTTACGCTAACATTCTTCGCGCTATCGTGTCGCGCATGAGTCACTCTAGTTACTGCGTGTCTGAGAGGGAAAAACCCAGACTTGTTTGTTCCGTTACCCTCCATTCATTATCTGCCCGGTGTCGGCTATAATTTCGCCCCCGTGCCTTTATATTCCCGGTGTCGGTTGTAATTTCGCCCCCGTTTCTTTCATTTAATGCCTTATACTGTTAACTTATGTTTAAGTGCTCAATTCAGTGCGAACTGTTAATTTTCTGTTGATCCCCTTCTATGTCCGTCACTGTATGCATTCTTTTAATGCGGTACTCTTCATCAACCCCCATGGAAATGCCCAAACGGTTCACCAAAAATGTCTGTCTAATCATGCGGCTGTTAAAAATCAGGACCATTCAAATACTCAGGGGGCTAAACTCAAATGTTGAAAATTGGAATCGTAGGGGGCCAGTTGACGGAGAAAGGAGAGTGTAACAACCATCTTCTTATATGTTGTTAAAATGCAGACAAGCCAGCTTAGCCAGATGCTGCGTGGTGGCCAGCCAGATGCTGACGTTGTGACCTCAGCTAAACCCGACCTCCTGCCCACACATGGTCCGGCAAGCTTGTCACCCTTGTCTGATAAGGTCGGGGACTCGAATCCACTAGCCAAGAATAGAAGGCAGTATATCAACCTTTTCTTCTTCTGTAAAAATCAGTCAACATCGAGCCAGGCCAGATGCAGACGCAACGACCTCCAATCTACTTTCTCCGCTCCCTAATCCTAAAATGTACACTCGATAAAAATAACTAATGTGAACTACTACTATTCTAGGTGGAGCTAACAACAAAAACTAGAGCAAAGAATACATACACCAATGCTAAATCTAGCGCCGAAATCAATAGTCAATGTTACTGCAAGCTGGCCAAAGAAAGAAAGAAAATCATTAGGTTTATTATTAACAAACAGTGATCGCTTTTACATGAATAGAAAACAGTACTTTATATTTCTGAACTGTGTCAGTTTGGTACATGGGCGTCACTACAAAGAAACATTAGGGAACTTTGTCACCTTGAAAATTCTCTAGGTGGTGGGGGTCACACATGGATGCTAAATTGTTTAAAAGTGCAAAAAATAACGACATTTTTATTATGGAGGGAAAGCTTGGCTTGGCGGATTGTATCACAGGATTGAAAAAAAAAAAAACAGTGGAGAGGGTGGAAGAAAGCTCACATGTAATAAATTATTGGGGGGAAGGGGGGGGGGGCCTCAATGTCCCTGAGATCCTAACTTCCGGCGTTCTGCTTCGATACTGATTTGCCTCAGTCGAGTCACCGAGCCAGGGCTCCCCCTCATCGGCACTCACTCTGACTTCTGAGGGCAGGTCAAATCTAATTTTGGAGCCGGCGGAAACGCATATGCGGTGCATGTCAGACAGCGATAATGGGGATAATTGAATGAGCCAAACCGGCCGCTCAAATAAGCGGGGAATTCCAGAAGTGGTGAGCGCGGATGTAGGTCAGATAGTAATTGTAGTTTATGAACAGTGAATTTAAATTATATGTCAATGTCATTTTATTACACACCAACTTCCTTATCGTTTATCTTTCTTTCTGTCCTCTTTCTACGTTCGCCCTTTAAAAGACGGCTGGCATGCTGTATTATGGTTTTCAAGGCTGCCTTGTCTGCTGACTTAGCAAATTCTAAATGGTCGCCTTTTACGACATGCTGAGCAGTAGGTGTCCCCCCCCCCCCACCCCAAAAATGGATCCTACAAAGATTGTTGACGGTACTATTTGTGAACATGTGCTATAAATGTGAAACTTCTATGATTGTAAAAGTGTGCTATAATTTTGAAATGGTGCTATGTTTGCTGAGTGATGGTACATTTATGGTTGCTGTGTTTGTAACGGTGCTGCGTTTGTAAGGATGCTGCGTTTGTAAGGATGCTGCGCTTGTAAGGGTGCTGCGTTTGTTAAATTCAGGATTTGTCAATATATTACAACCAAGAATAACAATCGGTACTTTTCTTTTACTTCATCCCATATCGAGAATTGAGTATCCTGGGGAGTTCCGGGATAGAAATATATTGTGGGGGAAAGGGTAAATTAAAAATTAAAAAAACCTAGTAATCAAAGGAGAACTGGAACAAAAGAGAGAGAAGTTAAAATGATCAGTTATCGACCAAGACGGACCAGAAATGTTTACAACTGTTTTGGTTCTTCTGTATAATAAGTGACCAGAAAACCTAAAAAGAACAGGAAGACAGGGCATTATGAATACGTCTGCGCAAATGTGGGTTATATCTCTAACCCCCCTCTCCCTTTTGGTGTAAAAGTTCTCGAGACGACGTGAGGAACGACACAGAACCAGAATCGTGTGACATAACTTTTCTCGTGTACACACATTTTAGCAAGGGTTTATTCAGGTAACTTTCGTGTACACACAATTCACCACCCCCCCCCCCCCCCTTCTCACGTTCATCTGTGTAAACTTCACGATTATTTCTGGATTAATGCCAAGATTAAACTTTCAGAATGCAGACGCTTAAAAAAATTAATTCGGTTAACCGTGACTCAAATGTTTGGAATGAATCTTGAGGGCCATGAATTTTCCGGGACGAGGTTTACTTAACTAACGGAGGCCGCCATGAAAGCCGGTTAATCTTTTGTTAAATGGTAGGGTAACTGAATCAGTTCTCGCACGACTGTTATCAGTTATCGTTTGTGGGCGCCTGTTATCGTTTGCTGTTATTCAAGTCAAGACAACAACATGATACTGGTACATTGTGCCCTTTCCGTATCAAAGAGTTGAAAATCAATTAAAACAAAACTTTAAATTTTACAGATGTCTACATAATTTGCAGCAGTGTAAAGGTTAACCACCCGTCTGCTGGCCCGAAGGTTTTAGTTCGAATTCCTGACTCAAACACCCCCTCCCCCCCCCCCCAAAAAAAAAAAATTTCACTTCAAGTCGACGTAGCCTAAATGGATACCATGTAAAGTCATAGGAAGTAAAGGCGGCCGGTGTGACGATGACCACATCACACAACAGTCCTAATTGGTCTTCATAAATAAGAGCCTGGCACCATATGACGTGTACATCACTGGCGTGTAAAAAGCCTTTCAAGTGGTTTTTTTTTTTAAACTTACACACATTGGCACGCACAGACACACACACCAAGTGTGGCAGGGACAAACAATATGAGTGGTGCAGCTCAATATAAGGTGCAGCTGTGAGGTGACCCTCATTCTATGAGGTTGAAGGGGATATATTACTTCTGTTCCTGTCGGACTGACATCGGAAATATGGCTTATAGCATCAACTGAATCTATGACGTCAAACTTTCTTTAACTATAGTTCCAGAAAACGGGGGAAAGAAGGGGGGGGGGGGGGCGTACTTTCATGTTTTGGTAGGCAAATAGAGGCCGACGGTTGTAAGTATTGTATATTTATATTATTTTTGAATTAGTATTTCTGAACTGTCAAGATAGAAATGGCAAACAACTGAACGCAAAAGGGCACAGTAGAATTAAACAAATGTTGGGGTTTGTTTTGCAACGTCTCGTAAAGGATATGCAACTACATATTTGCGAAAGTGAAACGCTGAAACGCAGTTCAGATAGCGAAAGATGGTCACACTAAAACATGACATTCAAAAACAAAATAGAAATCCCGAATGACAGGTGAACTCATCTGGCAGCATACCCGCATACCAACGAAGAAGATGAACACCCTGTACGACCATTCATCAAATCGTTGTTTCAAGTTCACGGAAAGGAAAAGAGGGCGGGGAATAAAAATCACTCCGGAAAAAGTTCATCCAAGGGTTGGATACAAGTAAACTACACTAAAAACGGAATTTGTTCAGTAATACTCAAGTAACAGAACAAGAAATATGTCCAGAAGTGGACAAACAACCAGGACCTTCCACCGACATTTAGAGCCGGTGAACTCACAACAAACAGTAAACTAAGTTCAGCAAATAATATTCACCTTTTACGTGAAGCCACGTTCAAATACTCTACACTAACAATGACACCTGTTAAAATACTATCTACTTACAGTTTGATCATCTTGTGGAATAATAAAGTTATCGTTGTCTGGCACAATCTGGTCTGAAGAACGAGCCGGTATGTTATTGTGAATTAAACTAGCCATATCTATGAATGAAGATAGTTGTGAGACTGCAAGCATCACGCACGTTAAAACCCCGGGTCCTGGACTGACTTGAAACCACCTCTTGCACCAAGTTTATGTTTCCCCCAGTCTCGCCCGCTCGCCGTCCCCGCTCGCTGAGCCGGCACGCTCAAGTTCAAATCTAACCCTTTTACTCGATTACCTCAACAAGGGCACATAACAAATATCCTCTCTAGTCAGTGGCGCTGCCACCACCAGGTCATCCTAGATACCCCCCCCCCCTCTTCCGAAAAAGCTTTTTTTTTCTGGCGATACGCAATGGTACGCAGTATCCGCACATTTTTTTTTTCAGTGTCGCTGTTATCGACATTTTTTTTAAAAACCGGCACTTTCTTTTTCTAGAAAAAGATAATAATGAGTAGCCCCATATAATTTATACAGACAGATGCTCAGATAGCGCAAGCCTATTATAAGTATACAATAATAGTAATTTTTATTCTAATTATTATTATATGCCATAAGCGGCGGGGACTGTGTACTTATTTCCAGCGAAACCCATGACAATTAAGTGAGTGGACTGAGGCCCTCTTTGAGCATTTATCGAAATTCTCTAGAAAAAAAATATTTGCTTACATATTTTATGTCGGCTCTGTGGCTAAGTCGATGCGAACGCTTCGCTTCGTAATGCCAGGATGCCAGGTTCGATCCCAGCTGCTGGCAATTCGCCTTGCGTTGGTTTCGACAGTGGTGTCAAGAAAGCCGACTGTCCAAAAAACTATGGCAAACTACTGGATGTAAATTGCCTAGAGAAACCTCACAACAGCCAGGGGCTGTTAGGGTTGGTTCTGCAACGCCTGTAAAGGATACGCAGCTAACTTTTCAAATATTTCATATTATTTCAAGTAAAGTTTTAGATTTATTTGATACCCTGCATAATAATAACTATTAATATTTTTTGCACATCTTAACAAGGCTGACATAATTTTTTTTTAAATTTTTTAATTAAAAATGCAATGTATAAAGAAAATCTCTATGGTAAGGGAAACAGCCCCCTTCCAAATCCTCTAGGGAAGTCAATCCCGCCCCACCCCTCACACACATGCACACAAATTATCGGGGCCCAGGACAACATAATTTACAGTCGCTCACAGCTTCGAAGTGCTACGTTACAGCGCCCCTGCTTTCAGCCTTCCCTAGCGATTCCAGTAATCGGCTTCTGTGAGGCAAAAATCGACTGCTGCTAGTACTACGACGTTAAACTTATGAATGAAGTTGACCTTTGACTGTTGCTATATTTCGCGCTGTCGTCATGCAGCGGGAGGCGTGACCGAATTTCCATATATGGAAGAACAAGGTTAAGCGGTGTTTATTCGGTTGGAAAGCGAGATGTTTTTCAGTTTGTCACGGTCTAGCGATAATTTATCTGTGTTGTAATACCATGCAATTCTTCTTCTCTCTCTCTCTCTCTCTCTCTCTCTCTCTCTCTCTCTCTCTCTCTCTTTTTCTCTCTCTCTCTCTCTTTCTCTCTCTCTCTCTCTCTCTCTCCCCCCCTCCCCTCAAAACACCATACACTTCGCTAAAGCTGCTTGGAGACTTGAAAAAACTTTGTCTGGATTTATCTTTAAAGATGAAATATTAAACAGAATGTGGATAACTTTGGCCAACTCAGCACTTCTTCTTCTTCTTCTTCTTCTTCTTCTTCTTCTTCTTCTTCTTCTTCTTCTTCTTCTTCTTCTTCTTCTTCTTCTTATTCTTCTTCTTCTTCTTCTTATTCTTCTTCTGTTTCTGCTGTTGCTGTGTTCGCTTATAAAATACAATTAACATATTGTGTAGTAATTTACATCTAGGCTGCGATATCGGCACAACACTTTCGATTTCAGCAAATCTGTATACAGTCAACATTTATGACATGCCTGTTAAAGGATAACGGTCATATCCCCCTCCCCACCACACCCCACCCCTTTTACGAAAATGGGACCCTAGAATTCGTATAGGGAATGGGCAGCTATGTAGAGTTTGAGCTGTGGGGAGGAGAGGAGGGGGGGGGGGTGGTGGTAGAGATGGAAATAAAGAAAAAAAAATCTGTCTCTACATTATTTGTAGCATTGTTCTCGTTGAGACCTTTCGGGGGCAGGGGGGGGGGGGGGGGGGAGTGGCACTCCTTTATGGCGCAAAATTAGCGAGACTTGTTCAAGCTCAGACAAATCCCCCCACAGTCAGAGCATGAACTCGAGGACCTCGTTATCATCGCTTTTGTTTAACCTACTTCTTGTCAGACGTCACCACTTGCCTTATATGCATCATTTTCTTCCGTGTTCACTTAACACCCCGGGGTGTTGTTACAACTTTTACATTTGATCTGACACTACTAAATATTGTTGCTACTTTTTTTGTTTACACGCAGCGCTCTGTATACACCCCGGAGTCCTAAAGTGAAGTTTGGCAGAACACTTTTTTTGGCCAACACGATGCTATCAGTGCCAAAGTTAGACACTTACATCCTCCAATAAACGTAAAATTGTGACAACAGAGATGAAATAAATGCCTTAGAAGAGCTGCAGGAGTTTCAAGGAAAGACACAATACGAAATCACGAAATCAGACGAATGTTAGGAATAAAGCCAGTCTTACAGGTCATCAAAGAACAACAAATGAATTGGTTTGGACACCTAACAAGAATGCCTTGGTACTGTCTGCCACAGCGAGCCACACTAAAACGTTACAATGGGTATAGAGCAAGTGGAAGACCTCAGAAATTATGGAGTGATGGCATTAGGAACAGCCCTAAAGAAATGAACATCAGTCTTAATAGTGCTCTTGACAGAGCTTATCAACGAATGTTACATCTCCACCCGACACTTCGATGAGGTACAAGGTGGAAGAGAAAAAGAAGAAGAGGAGGAAGATCTTGGTATATGTGTGTAAGGTGACACATTTGTTGCCGAATATCTGAGACATTATCACTGGACGCTTCTGATACAGAATTGTGCAATAAAGTGGAATGCGTGCACTTCAAACCATTGTTTATTGGACGCTGTTTGAAGCAAATTGGTGTTACCTTTCTTTTGGAGCTAACAAAACAAGCTGAGAAGGAGATGCTCGGTCAGCTCACAGTCTCTATATAATTGTCGCGTCCTTGTGCCCACAGAAACAGTGGAAACGTACCAGTCAACATCATCAACACCCATGATGCCTCTTTGAAAATTCGACTTCAAAGGAAAAACCTCTAATTAGTCGCCTTCTACGACATGTTTATTAGGGTAGTGGGTCTGTTTTTATTATCCCCAAAATCTTCTTCTTCTTATTCTTCTTTTTCTTTGCGTTCGGTTTCGTATGCTCAGATCAGACCATCATGTGGGTTGCGTCTATGAACTCGCATGTCAGCAGGAGGTCCTTCATGGTTCCCCACAGCTTACTCTGAACACTCTGCTCTCGAGGCCCTCAAAAAATAGGACCAATGAACCCCCAAGAGAAGACAGCTTGCCAATGACAAGGGGAAACTATCTCTCCGAACACAGCACAATACTTGTTTGATCTGCCATACCTGCCTGTAGCTTTAGCGGAACATTGTCTTTAACACGTTTCTACAACTCTAATAATGTCTTTATATGTGTTAGAGGTTGAGCAACCAGTTTCACAATCCCGATATACAAGATCTGGAAGTCAGTTGCAATAGGCTTTTCGTAGTTGACTCTGGCAAAAAAATGCTGTACCGTAGTAGAACGTCAAGTCGGAGGTGGAGCAGAGGAGGCAGAAGACACAATAAACTGTACAAGGAGGAGGCAGAAGACACAATAAACTGTACAAGGAGGAGGAAGAAGACACATTAAACTGTACAAGGAGGAGGCAGAAGACACAATAAACTGTACAAGGAGGAGGCAGAAGACACAATAAACTGTACAAGGAGGAGGCAGAAGACACAATAAACTGTACAGGAGGAGACAGAAGACACAATAAACTGTACAAGGAGGAGGCAGAAGACACAATAAACTGTACAAGGAGGAGACAGAAGACACAATAAACTGTACAAGGAGGAGGAAGAAACAGAACACGATAGAAGGATGAGCAGGAGGAAGTGGACGAAGAAAGAAGCAGAAAAAGAAGTAGTAATAGAAGAAGAAGAAGAAAAAGGAGAAAAAAGAAAGAAAGAAAGAGAGAGAGAAGAAGAAGAAGAAGAAGAAGAAGAAGAAGAAGAAGAAGAAGAAGAAGAAGAAGAAGAAGAAGAAGAAGAAGAAGAAGAAGAAGAAGAAGAAGAAGAAGAAGAAGAAGAAGAAGAAGAAGAAGAAGAAGAAGAAGAAAAACAAGAACAAAAACAAGCAAGAACAAGAACAAAAAAAAAAAAAAAAAAGGTGACGAAAAGAATAAGAACAAGAAGATGGTGATGAAGAGAAGAATATACCGACTAAAACTCAACACGATTAAAAAAATATATTAAAACACACACACACCCACACACCCACACCCCCCACACCCCCCCACACACACACACACTCACACACACTCACTCACACACACACACACACACACACACACACACACACACACACACACATCTGGCGACTACAGTTGACAACACAATGTATACATCTGCAAACACATCCTAGTCGTGAATGTTTATCACAGCCTTTCTGTGTACCCGGCAACCCCCCTGGCATTGACGTCATAACGAGCTTCGGAGAATTGGTGAAGAGTATCCGCATGAGGTAATGTCCTATATATATTTTAGGTCGGCTTGTGATAAATGACCCGGAAACAGTTATGGGGAACACCTGTCCTAACAAACAAACAAAAAACATGTTAACGGGAGTCAAAGGGCATTCATTGAGGACAGAGGAGATGCACAAAGAATACACCAGAAATCAAATTAGACCAGACAAATATTGGAAGCTCAGACTCTCCAAAGTCAAAGTTATCGCCTTCAAATGAAGCATTCATATAGTGAAATCAAGAAAATAATAAAGTGTTTGGTGCTCAGCTGCCCTCCACAACAAACATCATACCCCCCCCCCCTTTTACAGATAA